ACGGCGAAATTCATCTACTATACATCTGCCTAAGAAGTGCAAAGTACGGTCCGTTGTGCATTGTGCATTCGTTTCCGCTGTCATCTAAATCATGCGGCCAATGAACCAAGCCCGATAAAAACCTTCACCCCAAACGGGATATAGGTGGAGATTTGCCCTTCCGCTTCTGTGGAATGGGTACAAATCAGGACGAGACGAGCTTTTTTCATAAGGCCTCCAAGACTCTCAATGCGCTGGCACCGGTGAAGATGGATAGACTATCTTCACTGCCGCCTCTAAAGTCCATTTCTTGTCTATGATTGGATGAGTTGACTGTTGATTTCTTACGTGCTTGTTTCAAGAATTGTGCATCTCACCAATTGCAAACTACCCGCTAACATGAAGGTTTATACCAGAAATCGTGAGTAGATGACTGATTCGCTGTCGCACATCCTGGCATACATGCCGGTGCGGGAGCGAACTTGGCGAGAGCCTCAGCAACCGATGGGGCAGGCGCACGCGTGATTTGCACCTTCCACCAGACCCAGGCATCATGGACCCATCAACTCAACACTACCCTCATATATCGGAAATCCATTTGTGCGCGTCTCAAACAATGACGCTCGTTGCGATGCGCATGTTTCAAACGTCGCAGATAAAAGCCAGTGTTCCAAGGCATCCCCGCCATGTCGCGGTGATCTGCCCAAGGACGCGACAGCTGTGCGCATGCTCGAACATGGCGATATGAAGTAACAGCCCTGATGCCAGATCTGCCAACGAAAAGCGACCCAGCGCGCCACATGCCGACAAGGCCTCTGGCAGTTTCAAGCCGCAAGCGCTATTGCCTCGTCACTGGTCCACGTTACTGCGAGTCTCCGCTCTGCCTCGAGCGCTTACTCTATTTTCCTAGCCAATCACACCCGGCACCCTACCATTTCGCCTCAATGCGCGCAAGCCTCCACACGAGCTAGCTGGTGAAGTTGACAACCTCCATGGTAGGGATGCGCTGCCATTGGGCGCGTACAGAATGGTCAGGGACAGGCCTCATCTATAACATGCGAGCCACTGTCGTCCTGTGAAGTGCGAGTGGTTCGCTGTTCCTGACGGCCAGACCTCCAGGATTTGCGCATTCTAGAAGCGAACCATCCGTTGCAGGACAACACATTCGTCGACAGGCTGCGACTTTATCCGAATGGTTCGCGCAGTCAGCCTTTCCTCTCTCATCCTTACTCTTTCCTCCAACCTTCTTCTACTACTCTCTTCTAGTATCTGTTAGTCTTTGCTTTTGCCTGCTTCAGGCACCACGCTCTCTGTCACGCTTCTTGTTCGACTGCTTTTGATCATTTTGATGATGGGTTATTAGCTGTACTGGTCTACAGCGTGAAAAGAAGATGAATTACGGGAATATGCAAGAGAAGGAACCCAGGTCCCCATGGCTGGCCATCAAGTTTGGATGCTGTGCATCAAAAGAGGATTTTGTGGACGATGGGAGAAATGCGCTCAGGGCCGCTGGTAAGTTCGATTCCTTCTTCCACTCTCCATCCTCACAACTATCTCTTCACTTTGCGCTCTCTTTTCTGCGGTCGTCTCTACAGATTCCTGCCTCGATCATAGCAGTCTGCTGTCCGTTGGTTCCCAACTCCAACGTTCTTGTTGAGATGCACCATGCCACTCGCTTACGCTCTCCTTAATCTGCTTGATGCACGACTATACCCGGGCGATGCTCCAACAGACATCCAATATGTTGGAGCCGCATAAGGCAATCCCGATCGATCCAACATAACGCTAACGTCTGGATGCATAGGGGAGACTGATATGCGCATATGCTACGAGCAACCGCGTCCCGTACCCCAACCTTGCGCGGAGCCAACACTTCAACGCCCATCAACAAGCCAGTCGGTTAGCCGTCACGTCTCGCAATGGGTTTCCAACAGTCGCGAGTACGCTACACGTGCTTCGTCTCGTGCAAGCATCTCGACCCTTGCGCGACCAAGGCGTTCCCATTCAAGGCCTAGCATCAGCCGCCCAACTAACTTTCGGCACTTCGATGGTCTTGACGATCTACCTTCCATGCTCGACGATGCTTCCGTGCCTACTCGTCGTCGTCGTAGCTTCCGTCCGCTTGAGCTATCCATCTACCTTCCTGACGGTTGCGGCCATCTGTCTCCACTGCCTGACTTCGACGGTGAGGATGCATGGGCTAGCCTACCATCACACCTGGAGCGTCCTGCTGAAGCCCATGTCCGCGTAAGAGACTCACGTACGAGCTCAGTATCTTCAAACCCTTCTGCCTCATCATTCGTCATCCAACGTAAACCAGTTGGCGGGCAGTCGCGAAGGAGCAGTGTCCAGAGCCAGAAGAGCACCGCCACCCATGAGAGGAGGCTCTCGGGAACTACCATGGGTACTATGGCCACGCCCACCCTTGCATACTTGCCAGAGAACTCGCCGATTGCCGTTGACCAGATGCTCGAGAAGCCCACCATCCAGCGATCGCGCACATCCGGCACTTTGTCACCTGCTCGTGTGCTTTCACGTCTCCCATCGCCGTCGCGCAACCGTGCCAATACTGCACCATCTTCTCGCCCTGGCAGTCTTCGCCGTACAAAAACCGACGTTGATGATGCCATCCGCGAACTGAACACCATAATCGAGGAGCGCCGTGCCAGCGCCTACCGCTCGCACGCCCACTCACCCGCACTCATCAACCGTCCTCCACCCTCTCCGTCTCACCACGTACCTTACATTGCGCCGTCCATGCGTATGCATGTCCGCTCTGAGACTCTCTCAGATATCGGCTCTGCATTCTCAGCTCCTCTGGGCTTCAAGCCCCTCGCCACCACCCCAGAAGCTTCCGCGCCCCGACGAGCAACGATGGGCCTTACACTCTCCCCGCCATCCTTTGCTCACACCGGCCCCTTGACCTCGAATCCCATCACGCCGCCTCCACCCGCTACACCCACCACACCCATCGCCCGCCTAGGAGCCTGGCTCAAGCGCTCCACCTCCACCCTAGCCTCTTCCTCGCGTCCCACGACCCCAAAGACAGCAGATTCCTTCTACCAATGCTCGCCCTACCCCGCCCTCCCTACCTCAACCTCTCGCCCCTCAACATCCGGCTCCCGCACCCTACACACCCGACAAGAGAGCCAAGAGAGCCAAGAAAGCAACGGCACAGCCACTGTAACCCTCTTCTCTACTACATCCTACTCCTCCACCCGCTCCACCTCGCCTACGCCAACAACCCACTCTCTCGCCTCCACCGTCGCTACTTGCTCGCCGCCCCGCAAGCTCCGCCGCGTACCTGCTCCTTTGACGCTTGTAAAGGAGAAGGAGATTGCGGCTGAGGCTGTTCTCTTGAGCGCGACAACAAGGAAGAGCGGTGTCATGAACGTGAAGCCGCCTATGAGTCCGAACTTTGATCTGCTCAAGGGCATGGAGATTAGTGCTAAGGACGTTGGCGTTAATGGTAGGGCAAGTGCGATGGTCATGAGTCCAGGGGCCGTTGGTGTTGCCTTCTAAACATCTCTTACTAGTTCTAGCTTTTGTAGGTTTACGGGTCTATGAGGTATGGGTAGCGGAGTTGTATGTCTTGGTCTGGCAACGGAAAACAGGATCTGGGACCGGACAGGTAGGACTTTGGACTCGGTTTTCCTGGGATGGACTTTCGGATGGGTACCGTTTGATGTTGTCATGTCGATTTTGATATCCACTTTCTTCTTCTTCTAGCGACTTGGGCATATACCCTCCGTTTCACTCTCCTGTTGCAAGCTGTCTCGCTTGTACGGGGAGGCGGATGCCTGGGCGTGTATTCTTAGCTTCTTATAATTTATAGCCTTTTGCTTTCTATTCTACCGTTCCAATGTCGTGGATTGCTGAAGTGATTTCCTTGGCAGCTTCCAATGTTGTGGCTTGTGCGTGTGTGGAACATCTGGAAGGCGAGGACGCTAAACCCCTTAGGGCGTAGTGTCACTAGAGGTGGTCATGATTTCCAATTGTGTCTCATTCTACAACGGATAAATTAGGGTAGGAGTATACATCTTCTTCGAAACTGCCTATTCATCAACACGGAATAGTCTGTATACTGCAAAAGTTGCGAGAGCTTTTGTTCGTGTCTAGCTGTCGCATGTACACCCGCAACTGCCCACCTGGGCACCTGCATGGAAGTGCGGCTATCTACCAAGATTTCGCGATGTTGGGAGGAGTGATCAGATTCATTTACCATCACGAGGGCACTAGGGGTGACTGGAATTTGTGTCGCATTTTACAAAAAGGTGTGAGTAGAAATACCTAGGTATGCACTGTCTTGTATACCAATTATTTGCTCAGAGATAATAGTGTGTATGCAGCAGCTTACAAGTTCGACACGAATACTAGCCACTCCTGGTGCGGATGTACTTGTGAGTTCTGCGACATGGACTAATGTAGGATGTGAAGGCGTCTTATCGTAGTCTACCACCGCGCCTGCAACATAGCAGACGAGGCACTTCATTCCACGCGCGCATCGTGATTGCTTCATCGTAACCTAAGCAGGAGCTTGGATCGACAAGCTCTTTCACCTTCGGTACATCGATTTGTTTACTCTTACATTGATATCTTTTCAACACTGTTGTAGTGGTAAGTGAGCGCCCGCTGCGATACGCTGTTTACTGACCTGATAAGATCATTAGTCTTCCTCACTCGCCTTTCGAACACAGTATCGACTCCAGATGTTTCCCCCAAGGCGTATCAATACTCATATCAGCACGATCCACATTCTCGATATGAACAATGATGTTGATATGCCTTCTTCTGACATCGATGACTCGAACGCGGATCTATACGCGATGGATCTTCCTTTATCGCTCGCCGGTGAACTGGCCGCACAGCAGACCACAGTTCATTGCGCAAATGTCAGCGGTTCAACAGAAGCGGAGCACTTAGAACTTCAAGCTACTGCAGAGCCTCCGCCCAGTCCTCCTTTCTTCAAACCAGCATCCTGGAACGCGATTGATGCCGTCACCGCGGAATACCATGCCAATATGCAGCAGGAGATGCAGCAGGAGATAGCCGCACAAGAGCTTCGCGATGTGAAGCGTTGTCTAGACCTGCGACATAACATCGCTCGCACCGCCAAAACGAAGATTTTCGATTCTGAGCCGCTCGTTGTACCCAGCTCCTGGTCGATGTCGGGAGTTCACCTAAAGAGCTTGGTGAAGCATCCTTTTCTGCTTGAGGAATACCTGGAAGGCGAGCACTTTTCCCGCGAGGCGATCAGGATTCGAAGGGAATACTTTGAAATCAAACACTGTGGCTCACCGGAGATCAGGCGTCTCGCTGCCATGGAAGCAGACTACAGAGAAAGCCAGGCTTCACGGTCGTTGCTTGATCTCCTGCTAGAAGCCATTCAACATGCAACGCAAAAGCTCATCTTGGAGCTTACAGAAGGCGATAAGACTACGAAGAGACCTGTCTTGGATCTATGTCGTCGCCTGGTCGCTTATTCGACCCACACAGATGATGATGGTGAGCTCATTCGGGCCGTGGAAGCGATCAATGATATAGAACGAGGACATATGCAGTTGCAATACGATAACGTGTTGGAACGGTCCACGGAAACTTCGTCAAAGTCTTCGATGCCTCATGCAGTCGCTCCACCAGACTCACCACCGCCTTATCACATCTGTCTTCCAGCAGAGCCAGCGTCGTCGCCACCACCGGTTGAGACATCCCCGCCCAAGGATCCGAGTCGGCTGCGTGTAAAGTTCCAAGAGAATTTGACATTGCTCAGTTCAGGTAAGCGATATGCAATCCAGCCCTTCAAACCAGCATACTAACTCCGTGCTACCAGGTAAATGGAGAATGCCGGGAAAGAGCCAATCAAAGCCCTCATCTAGTTCACGCAAGCCACTGAGTAGTCAGTCTTTACGAGGTAGAAGTCACCACAGAGCCACAGACATAGGCCATTTGACACATCCCATCGTCATGATGGCCCTCGAACCGCCGCCTGTAGCTTCAAGGCCCGCCGACCTCACTCCCGCTCCTCACACCATAATCCGCCCTGTGGCTTCAAGACCAACGCCTATCAGGCCGGAAGCGACGCTCTCACCGGGGTCTTCGCTCGCAAATACTGGCAAGAAGCGTCGGGCAAGCCGGGAACTGGCTGCTACAAGCGATTGCGAAACAAACCCGACCAAACGACCCAACAGGAGTGAGCGTGACGGAAACGCCCACTCCGCGCAAGTCGAGAGTCGCGATGCCAATGTCGAAATAGGTGTGTCTATGTTTCACAAGTCTTCTCCAGTACGTCACCCTACTAATCAATTCAACAGGCAACACAGCGCGACCGACGTGTCCTACTCCGAGCCCCCAGATGCAAGCAGCGCTTGCAGAGGCATGCAGGAAGAGGGATGAGCGACAATCGAACCAATGGCAACTTGTGATTTACAAGCGCGATGAGTATGTCTTCTGGAAGAAAGAGTGGAGAAGATTTGAAGATACTGACAATGAAGCGTAGACAGAACACTTTGGGAACTGGGCGGTGCTATTATTTTGGGCAGGGTTAGATATGACGCAGGCAGTGAGGTCGTGGTATTGCGCATTGTAAGGTCGTAAGAAGACGGCGAGCATCGGTATCATTATTACCGCAATCAAGCTCGGAAAGCTGCTTTGCTTTCAACAGCGGTCTTGATGCTGCATAACTGTGGTTTTGCGTGTGTTGCGTCTCTTCCCCCGTTCCTATACGTGTGTACGCCGTTGTTGAGATCTATACACCTTATTCAAGGAAAACACTGAACATCCTAGAGTCTACATTGACGTTGAGTTGCCTTCTTCGCAGGCTTTCATGTTCATGTAAGCTCCAGAGTGATCACCGTTTTCCGTCTATCTCGTGTATGAGCTGTGAAAGACGCAGTAGAAGTAGCGTATCTTCACATAACGTAACAACCGCGTCGAACCGGTTTATATACTCACAAGCCGTACATACGTTCCCGTCCGCAGGCCGTCCAGATCAGTGCCCAGCCCACGTGCATTCCTCCCATTCGCTCCCATCCTCTCTTCATCCAAGGTCCACGATCCATCGTGCACCCGCCTCTCCTGTGTACTCCACCGCCACACCTCCCAAGCTGCTTCTCCTATACCACGCATAAAGACATCCATCGCGCCATCCCCACACGTGTCTTATCTCTCCCACCTGATTGACAGCCCTCCGCCACGCCCAGCGGATGTCGCCGCTCCAATCTCCCCAACCACGCGCTTTCGGACCAATCACCGTCCCACCTTCCCAAAGAAGCTACAGCCTCGGCCCGCGCCAAACCAGGGTCCAGCGCTGCACTCCGACCAACCAAACCACGCGCGTCGCTGCACGCGTCGAAAACATGCACAAGAAGTCAAGAGAATCAGTGGTATTGCCAAGGGCTATCGGCGCTCGCGCATGGCCGGTGGCATGTTGCTTCCTGGCTGTGATAGGCAAGTCGCGAAGATGAGTTAGTCGAACGTGAGGTGGGGAGGTGTTTAGTAACGGATGGGTCGGACGGCCAGCGGCGATAACTGTCAGGAACAGGTCAAGTGGAGTGTAGCGCGATCGTCATTGATAGACAGCAGCGGGACCGGGTTCTTGGAACGCGCTTTTTGACTTGGTAGCATGGTAGCATGGTAGCAATGCGGATTATAAGAAGATAGGGCCCGAGCCTCAATACTGGAAAACGCTATTCCGGTTCATACCTTCGTTTTTACTCTTCGTTATGGCGCCTTTGACGCGACTTCTTGCCCTTTCGGCTTCGGTGGCGGTTTCTACTGCGCTGACGATTGCGGAGATTAATGGGAACAAATTTCTCTCGCCGTACAGAGATCAGACGGTTTCGAACGTTACGGGTGTTGTTACGGCGAAGGGACCCGATGGTCTTTGGTTGCGATCGACGCAGCCTGACCGCGACGAGCGGACATCCGAGTCTGTATACGTTTTTGGTCGCACGTTTGGTGCGAACTTGACGGTTGGAGATACTGTTGTTGTGGGAGGAAAGGTGGTCGAGTACCGCTCGAACAAGGACTACATCTACCTGACTCAGCTTTCAACACCAGTGTTGCAGGGGCGACTCAGCTCTGGTGCTGCTGTGAAGCCGCTGGTCATAGGCAAGGACACACGCGACCCTCCGAACGAGAAATACAGCAGTCTGGATGGCGGAGATGTTTTCGCAGTGCCGAACAACGTCTCGCAGATCAGCGTTGCCAACCCGGAACTGCAGCCCAAGAAGTACGGTCTCGATTTCTGGGAGAGCTTGACGGGTGAATTGGTCACTGTCAAGAAGCCTACTGCACTCACCAAGCCCAATCAGTACGGCGACACCTGGGTAGCTGGAGACTGGAAGGTTTCTGGTCGCAATGACCGTGGTGGATTGACCTTGACCGACAAAGACGCCAACCCAGAGGCCATCGTTATCGGAACTCCTCTCGACGGAACCAAGAACCCCACTGGCACCAAGATGGGCGATTCAGTTGAGGAGATCACAGGTATTGTCAGCTACGCTTTCGGCTTCTACCGCATCCTCCCAACTACCGCTATCAAGGTCACTAAGAGCCAGACGCCTGCTCTTCCTCCGGCGACCAAGCTTGTATCGAGCGGCAAGTGCGATGGCATTACCTTTGGCGACTACAATGTCGAGAACCTTGCGCCTACATCTGACCACCACCCTGACCTTGCCAATCACATCGTGAACTACATGAAGAGCCCGGATATTCTCTTCATTCAGGAGGTACAGGACGACAATGGTCCCACCAACGACGCAGGTAAGTGCTACAGAAATCTTTCACAGCGTTTCCGTTTTCCTTCACCGAATGTTGTACCCGGCGACGGGGCGCGTACGAGCCGCACTCCTCTCCCGCGTCGCACGCATTGAACAGAATCGTCTGACATGTCTAGTCGTATCCGCAAACCTTACCCTCAGCACACTTACAGCTGCCATCTCAGCAGCCGGTGGCCCAAACTACACATTCACCGATATTGTGCCTGTTGACGATCAAGACGGTGGCCAGCCAGGTGGTAACATCCGCGTCGCCTATCTGTACAAGCCGAACCTGATTCGCCTCTACAAGCCCAACCCGGGCGGTCCGCTCGATGCCAACGAGGTGCTTGCTGGCCCGACATTGAAGTACAACCCTGGACGTATCGAACCGGCAAATGACGCCTGGACCGCGAGCCGAAAGCCGTTGGCTGCACAGTGGGAGGTTATCGGAAAGGCCGGTGCGAAGAAGCCGAACGTCTTCTTCACGGTCAATGTGCACTTTGGCTCAAAGGGAGGGTCGAGCAGCTTACATGGAGATGCCCGACCACCAGTCAATGGTGGCGTAGGTGAGTTCATCAATCTGATCAAATTCGTGCAACAGTCGTTAACGATATGATTCTAGATGATCGTCTCGAACAGGCGCGTCTCACCGCAAATTTCGTCAAGGTACGTTGATATGTCGGTTACGGCTCTATGCGGCAAGGCGGAGCGGAGAGGGGTGGCTGCAGCACGCTTCTCGTACCTTCGTCCCTCGGTGGTACCAAGAACGCCACGCTCGCACGAAGGGAATGCCCTTTCTTACCCCTAAAACTATGAAGTTGGAGTGTAGATGAGAGCACGGCTGACGTTGAATTGCAGGACATCCTTTCCAAGGACAAGAACGCCCGTGTCGTGACTGCAGGGGACTTTAACGAGTTTGCCTTTGTACAACCCCTCGAAGAGTACACCAAGATCTCAGGGCTCAAGGATCTAGACGAGGTAGTCCGCGAGGACGAGCTCGAGCGCTATACCTACCTCTTCGACATGAACGCTCAGGAATTGGACCACATGTTCGTCTCGCCATCCTTGGCCAAGAAGAGCAGGGCAGACTTTGAGCACATTCATGTTAATACATGGCCGGAGTATGATGCGCAAGTCAGCGACCACGACCCATCGGTAGCAAGATTGAACGTCTGCGCTTAGACGATGCGTTTCGATAGTTTGCTAGACGCGCATAGCCGATGTCCGCGTTTGATAATGCAGACATATAAATATCAAGCGATAACAAGACCCTGATTCTAGATGCTCTCGCGTAATTGAAGATGAAAAAAGCAATCACTGTGTGTTGGAACTTACCTTTCGTATACTGCCAGAAGGCATGTTGCATGTGTTGAGATGACAGTACGCAGTATTGATACCATGTTTCATTGCGGCATGGTTGGCCAATCTCTCTTCTACCATGTTTACGAGGAGACGAGAGAGCACGTTCCCGATGCTGACGGCTGCTTACAACAAGCTAGGAGCCCTGTCGCAGGTGGGCGTATTTTGGCATGCATTCGACCTGTGCCGCAGCAACGCAACTAAATGATCGCGCATCACGCAATTAGGAGCTGCGGAACGTTGAGATGGGTGGAAGCAGGCAAGGGGCTCAGTCAACGCTCGCTGATCTTTTGGATCCCATCTGGCGGACGGCCACGCGACATCCACATGGGCGATCGGCTTGGTGCGCTGTTTGGCGTTTCTGGGCATGACATCGTGTGCGCCATCCAGGTGTTTGGATTCGTAGGTCATTCGCCGGGGCAGCGCAACGATTACAAACTGCCTGCGGTATCGCCGTGGGCCACGTGCGGGTAGTCCAAAAGTCAATGCAAATGCCGTGCCCAGATGTCGCTTGTTAACGGTAGCCCGGGTTCAGAGACCGTCGCAAGTAGCCTCAGACCAGGTGCTGTCGCTATCCATGGTGCAGGGTGCTTGACGCTGCCATGCAAGAACCAGCAGCTTCCATTGTTCCGCTCGCGCCGTGGGCGTTGGACGGCACTGGCGAATTGCAGGAGGCCAGTGCTCCATTTATCCGATGC